CTCATAAATCCATTTGTTCTAGCTGACCTCACCAGGTCACCTCGCCTCCTCCTTGAAGCCTTCCTTCTCCTGCCCAGTGCCCTGCCCTTAAAGCACCTACCATGTACACTTCTCATCTGGCACAGCGGACAAGAGAATCTGGAAAGCCTCTCCCCTCCGAGTGCCTAGGATGTATTTATAGCTCAGGACACTCTTCCTGCTGGTTTATACTTACTCCTGATCTCCTGGGCACAAGCTTCTCACGCACCTTGTTCCTTAGAAAAACTGTAAGCCCCTGGAGTGCCGGGACCACATAGTTTACCTCAGAGAATCCCCCCTACCTACACCTAGAATTGTTTTGTACCACTTACGAGAGAGCACTTATATATATTTGTTGAACAATGAGAAAATGAATTAATATAATCCCTGCTCACAGACTGTGAAAGCTGGAACAACCTATAGAGCTCTTTAAGACCAGGACCCTTGTTTTACCGATGAGCAAACTGAGGCCCAGAGAAGGGAGGGTTCACACAGCCCAAGGTCACAGAGATTACCTCTAAAAGGCTGAACTGGAACTCAAGCTCCTGACCCAAATAATGGTCTTTCTACTACCGTCTCCTACCTCTCACACCCATATCTGAAGGCCTTACCACTGGGCAGCCACACCCACAATAAGAGAGGAAATCAGTTACCTTCCCCAGTGTGCATGGTTCCGGAGCCAGGAGATAGGGTTGGATTCCAGTCCATACATCACTGTCTCCCCATAGTCCACAAAAGGCTTGTTCAGTCTGGGAGGAGGCAGTGAGAGCGGAGGGCAGAGTGTGTGAGTTAGACAATGACAGAACAAATGCAGCCCCTTGAGATGTAGGCCAGTTTCCCATTTTTCACCCTGGAGATATTACTGAGTCCTGGGCCAAATACTTTCAAGGATCAGAAGAAGCAAGTCAATGGAACAGTTACTTTCATTATAATTAACAACCATCTGGAAAAATCATTTCAATGGGTAAATATAAAATTATAATTTACTTCTGTCCATTGCATATAAGTAAATTTAACAGATGACACATGGTGAAAAAGAGGACACAAAAATAACAGGGCAATGTTAATCAGCTAGCATAAAAAATTTAGAGTGATCTGTGTAAGTGCTCACTTTCAGGTAATGAGACCTAAAACTACAATCTGTCACTCAAGAGGCAGCTCATGCCCTGGCCGGTTTGGCTCGGTGAATAGAGCATCGGCCTTTGGACTGAAGGGTCGGGTTTGATTCTGGTCAAGAGCACATGCTAGGGTTGCGGGCTTGATCCCCAGTGGGGTGCATGCAGGAGGTGGCCAATCAATGATTTCCTCTCATCATTGATGTTTCTATCTCTCTCTCCCTCTCCCTTCCTCTCTGAAATCAACAAAAATATATTTAAAAGAAAAAAAATGGCAACTCAGAAGGCTCTCACCTGTGGCAGAAGTGGTGAGCACATTTCACCAGGATACCCATGCAGTGCACAGCCACGATGCCTATCACCAGCAGGCTAAGGGGACCCATCTGGGGCCAGGTGTTGCGGGCAAGAGAGGGAAATTGAACAAGCACAGACAATTAGGAGTGAGCCAACAGAGACTGGATTTGCAAATGATCACAATGCTACTCTACTAAGGTACTTTCCAATGACAGAAGTTCTGACACAGCACTGGAAACAGAAATGTGAGCATGGAGATTAGCTCAGTGAGATGAGCATCATCTGAAACTTAGCATGCCTTCCAGAGAATTAATCTTGTGGAGAATGACACAAGATAAGGCTGTTTCAAGGCTGTGGCCAATCAGCAAAACAGAAGGCTCCTCTGACTGGGGGGAAAAGAGATGGGTTTAGGAGTGTGGGAGGAAGGTGAAAGTTCTTTTAAGAGCAGTATCAGATCAAGAAAGGATAGCCTTTAGCTAAGGACAACCTACATCTCTGAGCTATCTCCAACTCTAACAAAAACCAGAATGTCTTTGGACAGTCAGTCTATAGGGAGTGAATCATAAAAGAAAAATATTCTCAGAGTTGGCCATCTAGAGATGGAATGTGGAAGAACTGTGTAAAAAATGGACAGACTTCTGTTACTAATTCATTAGTTAACATTATTGATAAAAACTGCCTGAGACATTTTAAGTACATCCTTCTCACCAGAAAGTAAGCTCCCTGAGGGCAGGAATCTTTGTCTGTTTTATTCACTGATAGCATCTTAAGAGCCTAGAATAGTGCCTGGCACACTAAAGGCCCTCAATAAATATCTTTAGATAAATGGACACCTGAATTTTGTTTTTTCTCAGCTGATATTTTTTAAAGCTTCCCATTACAATGTTTTAAATAAAGTAAAAATATTTTTTAAAGATCCACTATATTCTAAGATTGTCATGAAACTTTCCTCCACCGATGCAGACCCTTACCAAGATGCCTGCATTTTTCACTGCCAGGGGCAGCCCCAGGAGTCCTGTGCCAATGTTGCCTTTTAACAGGTGGATCAAGGTCTGGAACCATCTGAAGTGGAAAGAAGGTAGACAAGCACATGTTAACAACAAGAGCTAACATTTATTAGGCATTTAGCACTGTGTTAAGTGCCTTCATATAGTATTACCTCATTCAATTCCCACAACAACCCTATGAAACATATTTTAACTTCATTTTATGGTTGAGGAAATAACTTGCCCAAGGTCGCACACCTGGTAAATAATTGAACCAGGTTTCATACTCAGGGAGTGTGATCCCCAAGCTGACTCTCCTAGACACTGGGCTATAAGATCCACTCCCTGTGGCATCTCTGAGAGTCCTCTTTCTTGGAGATTAGACCAGAGGGATGGTAGGGATCTCTCCAGGCACTGTATCCTTTCCTAGTGTATCTGGGCCTGGTTTTCACTACAGACCTGTCCACTGTAAAGAATCAGAACCCACACTGTAGCAGGATGACAAGCTTAACTGTGAAGGACAGACACTAGTATCGGAGAACAGAAAAAATAAAAAAAGAGAAGCCCAAAACCCTTAACAGAAAGTTTTATGGAGGGAATTTTCATGCTTACATGAATTTTCCTTGTGCATGTATTAAAGTTTTTCTCCTGTTTAAAAAAAAAAATTGCCCTGGCCCATGAAACAGTGGTTAGAGCATTGCCCTATGAACCAGAGGGTCTCAGGCTCAATTTCCAGTCAAGGGCACATACCTGAGGTGCAGGTTTGATCTCCCACCCCATTCGGGGGCTTGTGCAGGAGATAGCTAATCAATGTCTCTGTCTCTCTCCCTCCCTTCCTCCTTCCTTCCAATCTCTCTAAAAATCAATGGAAAAAATATCCTCAGGTGAGAATACCACATGCGGGTGCACATGTACAGTGCGATTGAAACTTCGTGGCCCATGTGCAGAAGTCGGTATTTTGTGGAAGAGCCGGTATTTTGTGGAAGAGCCACACTCAAGGGGCCAAAGAGCTGCATGTGGCTCGCGAGCCACGGTTTGCCAACCACTACCATGAGCAACGGTTGCCAACCGGTGGTCCGTGAGGTCCAAAAGGTTGGCGACCTCTGGTTTAAGGGAACCTTTGGAGCAGTGGTCACCAATCAGTGGTCCATGGACCACTGGTGGTCAGTGAGGTCCGAAAGGTTGGTGACCGCTGCCATAGAGTCCTAGGGTTGGAGAAGCCCTCTTTTGTCACCTAGTTTATCCTTCTGCCTTGAGGGCAGTTTTTCCTCACCTATTATACAGACTGTTCCCCCCCCCCTTTTTTTTTAATTCTTTTTTTATTGTTTTATTGCTTAAAGTATTACAAAGAGTATTACAAATGTCTCCTTTTTTTGTTTTTTTTTTCAGTTTTTATTTTTATTTATTTATTTATTTATTTTTTATTACAAAGGGTATTACATATGTGTCCATTTTTTCCCCCCGCCCTAGACAGTCCCCTAGCCTCCCCTATCCCCCAGTGTCTTATGTCCATTGGTTATGCTTAATATGCATGGAGACTGTTCCCCTTAAGGTACAATTGTAAAATCTCTTACATCCTCATTTATCTTTTCACTCAGCAAATTGCTATCATGTGTAAAACACTGTGTTAATGCAGTGATGGAAATAAGAATCAGATATGGATCTCAGTCTCTAGAAACTAATAATGTCTTGAGGTAGAAAGATCCAGATCTGAAGAAGGGCCAGGAACAATGCCCAGGGAGGGGAGGCAGGTGAGGGCTCAGAAGGGAGAAACCTGAGCAGAGTCCATCAAGACAGGCAGGGTCCATAAGTGCCAATAAGGAAGAAAGGCCTGGGAACACAAGCCTAGAGAGAAACACAGGGCACCAACATGAAAGAATGCCTTGGTTCTGAGGCCCCTCAGGTCGGGGTGAGGATGGACAAGGGATTTCTACAAACCCCTTTTTGACGTTCTCCCTAGGGAATGGGAACTCGTCAAAGGACTGACAGAGCAGAGGCCTCATCTTCTATTCTTCTGTTACTTCCAGAAGGACCAGGTCATACATGGTATGGCTTTCACCCAAATCACAGACTCACTCAAGATTTAGCCCCTGGCACTGTCTTAAAACTCTTCTGTACAAATAACCTAAATCCCTCCTAAATGCTGCTTACACACACATCTTCAAATGTGCAATTCAGGGGAAACAGAAAGCAAACAATACGTTATTTGACCATATTAGACTGATCTTTACCCTCCAGAAAGGAAATTTTATTTTTTGTGTCCTTTCTCCTTCTACCTCCAGGAAGAAAACCTCTCCAGTGTCCAACTGTCCCCAAGCTTTTCAGGAAAAACCAAGGATCCTGCTTCGAATCTAAAAACAAGAGGCTGAGTGCTCTTCTGGGCTATTGTGTGGAAACAGCTTAAGGACCAGACTGCAAGGTTCCAGGAGTGACTCTATCATCAACAGCCAGTTACCAGGAGATTATGGACAGGATGATGGGCCAATCAAGTTTCTATCTTGACAAAATAACCACCTGCCTCCCAGAGCCCTCCCCTAAATGCCTAAGCTGGGTTTTATGGGAGATCAGGTCCCTCAGGCCCTGGCTCTGCCACTACCTCCATATGACAATTCCCTTCTCCTTCTCCTAGCCTGTTTCCTCATCTGTAGAGTGAGGAGACTGGACTAGGACAACATACTCTCCAAGGTGCCTTCAGCTTGAAACACCAGGATTCGAAGCAACTGACCAAAATTACTGTTTTCACTCAATGACCCCAAGCTGGGATTACTCAAAACCATATCACAAAATCAACTCTAAGGACTGCAAAGCCTTAACTATGGGGGTGAGGGGACAAAGAGGCAAATAACATCTTAATAAGCCTTACAAATCTTTGTGGTTCTGTTTATGCTCCAAATCAATAGTTCTTATACTTTTTTGTCTCAGGATCCCTTAATATACTTATAAATTATTGAAGATCACAAATAGCTTTTGCTTAATTGGATTATGTCTGCTGATATCTACTATATTACAAATTAAAACCAAGAAATTATACAACTACTTACCAAATTAAAATAACACTAAACCTATTACATGTTAATATAAAAAAAATACAGATTTTTAATGAAAAGTAACTATTTTCCAAAAAATACAATGTGAGAAATCTCTTTCATGTCTTGCTTAATATAAGATAGCTGGATTATCTACTTCTGCACTCACTCTGCTGCAATATGTTTTGGGGGTTTTTTTTGCTTGAAGTATACAGAAAGTCTATCCTCAGACATGTAGTTGGAAAATGAAGGAGTATTTTAATTACCCCTTCAGAAAATTGTGGCAATTTTTCTTTGATACTACACCAAAACTCAACATGTGGTCATTTCTTGGAAGTTGTAATGTGGAATCTGAACTTTTCATGTTCTATTGCATTAAAACCCACTGGTGATTTCGCTCTTTGAATGATCTTTTACCTATGCAAAATGTTCTAACATCACACTTCGGTCATTTGGAAGATACTGGTTCTCTGGGTTATACAGACCTTTCAAATGCTGACATATTACCTTATATAATGTTAAAAAAATCACATGTATTAATATCATCACTTATCTCATCAGAAAATCTTTAAGTAGAGAGAAACTGTCCAGGTCATAGTGCTGGAGACAAGTTTTTTTCTAATTTTGAAAGCTCAAATTTTATTGTGGGCAACAAATACTATTGACTGTTTTTCTTGAGGTGACAGTCTCCTTGTGATGGGACTGTGATACTTGCCATCACTTACAGATGGGCTTTGGGTCACCTACCTTGTATCACAATATGAGGGCAGGATGCCCCTCAGAACAAAGTATACCCCAGAAAATGTCCCAATAAAAAACCCAAGGAAAGTATCTCCTGATTTGCTCAATTTCCAATAATCAAGGGTAAATAATGTGAGGTTGATTACTAGCTATAACCCAATGTGAATAAAAGAGATATTCAGAATAGCTAACAGGCATGCATTAGCTTCAATACATATAAAACCTATCAGCTACCATCCTGAAGTGGCTAGCTAGTTGGTGTTGAACGTCAGAGACATCCCTTTAAAAATGAAAATCTAGACCATCTGGCAAGCATTGCATGGACAACAATTGAGCACAAGGAGCAAAAACTGGAAGGGAAACTATAGAGAGAGAAGCTTGGAAGAAATATTTCACAATAATGAGTGTGATCTCTGAGGGGAAGCTATCACATGTCATTGGCTGCATTTGGAGCTCCTTCTGCCTGGGGGAAGCCAACTGGGTGGAAAAGGTTAGGGAGAAAGAGAACAATGGTCTTCACTGCTCCAAGTTGTACTCTAAGTATCTTTTCCAT